CAGCAGGAAAGCGCCTCTTTGATGTAGGATATCAATCTCAATCGTATCCAGCTCCGTTAGTCGTGCTCGCGTGCCTCGAACATTTTCAGGGAGTGGGTAGTGGACGACATCATGCTGACCATGCTTGTCCTGGACCAACAAACTCAGATTCGAAGATTCACCTGTCTCTAATCAGAATCCATTGCCAGAAATGAATATGAGTCTCACCAAGGTAAGCAACACGTCCAGCTTCTTTGATAGGTGCTCTTGCAAACTTTGGTCTCATAAACTGCGTGAATGTTCCGGCGTCTACAGCGACTTGAGCGTATTTTGCATCCGGATAGTTAGCCATTGGGGTTCCGTCCTGGTGAGGCGCGACCTGGGCTTGCGGCGTCCGGTTAAAGTTCATCGGATTTCCATCAATGGGCGATGGTGTCGGGGTCGTTCCGACAATAGACCCTCTCCTTCCACCAAACGGCCTACATTCGTCAGCCCACGCGCTCAACAGTTTGGCCATCCCAATCATACTCTGATTCTTCCTTCTTGACACTTCCAAGCTTCTTTCTTTTCGGCGGCGGGATCTTGCATTCGATGGAAAACGCCACGCAATTTGTGCACGGAACACCAAGACTTGCGGCATCACAACGGACCTGTATATAATTAAACTCTGTAGCAAGTACGATTGAGTGGAAAAAAAAATTCACACCTTTCTTGCATGACAAGTCTACGACAACGGTCAGCACTCCCGCGTGTCAAGACACACCCGCAACTCTGCTCCCCCGGGATAACTCACTTCACATGCCCGCGCTGCACGTTGCCTGATCCCAGTCAGCGCAACCTTTTTCCTCACAGCTCCAGGCTCCAAGGTATCTCCATACCTCCGAAAGCTATGCCCTGTGGCGCTCACAGTGCTCCCAGAATTCGACGGTGGGCCTCCACTACCTCCATTTGCTGCCGGCGTTGCTCCTGGGGCATTGCTGTTTCCTCCACTCGTATTTGCCCCGGAGGTATTGCTCGGTGCTTGTGGATTTGGGGAGCGATTTTCTGACATTGTATCAGGCGACATTGAGGCATTTGAGGTCGTCATGTAATCCTCTTGGTTGCCCCGCGCATGGCGTTCTTCCTCTGGGAAATTCATAGACAGTGTTGTTGTCGTTGCCGGCGTGAAGTCTGTGACGGGGGTCGGACGGAGGGAAACGAGACGATGGCGGCGGCGGAGGCGGCGGAGGCGGCGATGGCGATGACGATGGCGACAACGGGACTGCTCAGGAGGTTCTTCTTCTGTGTGCGGGTTCTGAGTCGGTCTCTGGGCGATTGGGCTGCACGATCCCTGCCTCTTGGGTCTTCTTGGGTGTGTGGATTAGGATGCGCGTGATCGGGGACGATGGCGGAGAGAAGAGCCCGCTAGGTGGTTACGGCGGTGTGGGGAGTGTAGGGCGTGTGATAAGACGGCCGGTTTGTGGGGATGTTGCGGAAGCAGCGGGAGGATAGACGAGAGAGGAGTGACGAAGACGGGGTCAGGGTCGATGGTGTTGAAAGCACGGGATACCGATGTCAAGGACGGGATTACTCAGAAACGACCAAGGCCGGTAAATATGGGTTCTGGGATGCTGGGGGGGGGGTAGTCTACAGCGTTGCCACCTTTCTGTTGGAAGAACCGTCAAGTAAAGTGAGCCTAGTGTCGTATATAGCAGGGGGTTCCAGAACAGTGATCCTAGTGGGGGAGGAAGTTGCAGTCGGGGGGCTGCAGACCTTCGCGAGACCAAGACAGCGGGCTGGTGGCCGAGTGCGGAGAAATGCAGGCGCCGGGCGATTCGGAGAGGGGATGGAGAGAATTGCGGGGGAGCTGCGGAGACGGAGAGGGAGGGGGTGGGTGGGGGGTGGGCTGAGAAGGAGGGGGCGGAGGAGGAGGGGGCGGAGGAGGAGGGGGCGGAGGAGAACCGCAAGTCGGTGGGTATTCCGAGCGGAAGGCGGCCGGGCCGGTTGTGGAGAGCGAGCGATGGACAATGAAGACGACTCCTTCTGTCAAAGATGATTTAACAGGTCACACACAAGACGGGGACATTTGCGAGGCACGACATTGGGGCTAGCTGTGAATCCCGAGAGCCAGCCCGGTCACATCCAATACAATGTCGACAAGGCTGGTGAAGCGATGGCGATAATCTCCACCACCATCACCAGCTCTGCACCCACCTCCTCCCGCGTGACAGACACCCTCGCCCCAGCGGAAAGCCTCTCCATTCTTCACCCAATTCCCCAGCCCAAACGTCAACTCATCAACTCATCACGCCTCCCCGCTGATCCCCAGACCCCGCTGTCCTCCCGCCGATGCAGGCACCATCACCACCACCACACCTGCATCCCTCACGAATCGGCCGCTCTCGGGTTCGCAAATCACGCATTAACCGGAAGTACCCGTGACGGCGTTGCACAAGCACAATTGAAATAACACGAATAGGATCCACACTTGTTTTCCATCATTGGCAGACTACGTATCAACATACTCTCATCGTCTCCAACCTTGCGCACCCGAAACCGCCTCACCACCAGCATTGTTCCGTATTGATTTCAATCAAGTTCCATATAGATACTGGTAGACTAGTTAGCTGTAACCTCCCGCATTCGGCATCATCCTCCCTTTAATAACTAAATAACGGTCACTAACCCTCCCTCCATCGACAGCCACGTTTTCCTCACCCCCTTGACTTGACACATGCCAAAACCCCTCCCCCTCCATGAAGCACCTCCTGGTGCTATCAACCTGAATCCGATCTGATTCTGATGCCCCGGACGCGGGGTCAAGATGCACCGGACCGCGACCTCACATCGCGAACTTATGAGCGCGCTGGCGCGTGAGTGAAGGATTCCAGTGGCATGTGATAATATCATATTCCCCTACTGGCGCCATCGTTAAGAATTAGTTCGTGGAAGCAAATCACAGTGTAACTTTACGGGCGTATGATGTGCAGCCTATCGGACATGACTCCGAAGAGATGGATTCGCAATAATCCAGGTTACCTATTCATCATACTCGATGTATCGATGTAGTGGTCATGGATTATCACGCTGTAAAGATACACTCTAGAGTACTCTCCAACGCCGAGTCGAGTCCAGCGGTACTACTAAACACATCAAGATTGCGACGGTGACGAGCTTATCACAGCTCGTTCAACGCGCTTTTCTCATTGACCTCTCTCACCAACACAGTAGTTAATAGAACTCGATCGTTAGTGATACCCCATGACTCCCTCCATCCACGTCTTGATATACACGAGTACTCTCCTCTAGGCCCGGTACAGTATCACACCATTTCCATCCCCATTCCTTTCCTCTCCTCTTCCCTCTTTCGCTTCTCTCACCTGTCTCCCCACCCCGCCAGTGATGCTGAGTAGACACGGTGTATCACTCGATAGTGGTTCTGATTCCAGAGGCTGGAGACTGTAAGCGCGAAGGTTGGGGGAGAGTGTCAAGGTGGGTAGGGGGGATCGGGTGATGGATAGATGAATGGATGAACGTTACGGATGGAAGAATGGAGGATAGTGGTAGCGAAGATGAGAGTGATGGTGACGAGTGATGATGATGACGGAGACGTGTATAATCCACCACCTTACCGGCATTACCATCCTCCCACCAACCTTATTCCACATAACAAGCAGCTATCATATCCCCAACGGCAACGACAACACCGACGGGATGTGTAGATGTACTAGAATAGATTGATTGATTGTTTGATATCATTTAAGCGCATGCGTCCCTTTGGGATATGGCGCGTCACCTACTCTACAACCTCCACCCTCCCCCTCCCCTCTAGTTCTGCTTCTTTACAAGCCTTCTGTATACATAACGTTCGTCTATTGTCAACCATCTTTCTCGCCGACCCTTCGCGCTGGCGATGGTCGCCTTTTGAGTTGTGCTAGCGAGCTGCTAAGCACGTTCTCTCCTCTTTCTCTTCATTTTAATATGTATGTTACCTCACCTCCATTCTCCATTTCCTTCTCTCGGCATGGCATCTGCCCTTCGCTCTCATTTTTCCTCTGCTCCAGTTACTGACTCTTCCTGCTGTTCCCACCTCCACTCTTCCGCCCGTCTCTCTTCTCCCTCTCTTATTTCCGAGTCGTTCTGCACCTTCCACACGTTCGTGGTTTCCAGGTAATTCAGAGTTGCCGCTGTGGCCCTCCTTTCTGCGAAAATTGTAGCGAGTGCGTGTCTTTTCGTGAGGCCGACCTGCTTTAGGTCTTTCCACAGCTTCTCCTGTTGCCTTCTCCAGTGTCTGCATTCTTTAAAGAGGTGCTCACGGTTCTGTCGAGGGTCTCCGCACCACCAGCATTTGACGCTTGTGGCTTTCCCTATTCTTTTCAAGTATTCCGCCGTTAAGCCTTTGTCTGTGGCGAATCTGAAGTATCTACTTGCGAGGCTCTTGCAGGCCCACTGCTGCTTGATCTGGCTTTCGGGTTCGGGGGGGTTTGAATCGTTGTGAATAGTATTTCCCGCATGTTTTGGCTGCCCATTCTCTCTCTTCCTTCTCCGTTCTCTCTCTCAGTCTTTGTGCGATGTGGGTAATTGAGGTCATCCCGAAGCGCCTCGCATTCTTGTGTTGGCTCTGTCTAGAGGCTTCTTTTGCAGCTTCGTCTGCAATCTCATTCCCTTTGATACCGTGGTGCCCTGGCACCCAGTGGAAGTGGGTCTCTATACCTGCCTCTTTCAACTTTCGGTGGTGTTCTCTGATATCTTCCACGATGTTGGGCCCTGGTCCTGGATCCGTTGACTGGATCCTTCTCAAGGCACTCTGAGAGTCCGTGAAGACTTTGAGAATATTGACTAAGTCTCCTTCACTCTTCAGGGCGTTTTGCAGGGTGTAACGTAAGGCTTCAGATATCTCATATAGTTCGGCGTCAATAACCTCTTTTGTCGGCCCTAGATTCCATAGTCTCGTTTGCCACTGTTCTTCGGGCTAGAATAGATTTCAACGTAAGAGTTTTTCAAATTGAACAGATCACATGTGGAAGAAGAGATATGAATCTGGGGATGTGGCGCAGTGGTAGCGCGTCCGCTTTGCATCTGCATGGTTGCGGAAGGTCTAGGGTTCAATCCCCTACATCTCCATATTTTTCTTTCTTTTTTTTCATTAGTTTTGATTATTTTATAATTCGGCATGATCCTTCATTTAATACTCTGGAGGGGTATGAGGGATATTCAACGAAACGTGGTGTCGACACTTGTGAGCCAGTTAAGGTTTTACAGTGTTTTCCTTCGGATGCGTTATGGTCATATATAGGTGCTGGTACTGAGACGTCCTCGGTGTTGCAGGTTGATCACTATGACGGTGGTTAAACCAGAATGAAACTGCTGATCGGCGATCACTGGCCGGTACAAACCTTCGCCCAAGCCCCCAAGGGACTCGAGGGTGGATCCTGACTCGGCCGTGACGACCTTCACGAGGAGACCTCACCCTCAATACTCCGAGTCGCTGATCGCCTCCTCCTCCAAGTATTGGTATTTGGTGGGTATGCGGGTGAACGGCGATCAGGATCATGATGATGCTATGGTTGGAGCATATAGCGAACCGACTGACTTGCCTGCACGCCCTCGCACGTATAAAAGCCTTTCGTAACGCCAGCTGTATCAAACGCGTCCCCAATCACCTGAGGCCTCACAAACCAGGAAATGGGTTGTCGCAGTCTGAAGTATATTCTTTACCTGGGAAGTGAACCCTCTCGAATCGGGCTCGGCGGTACTGGTATGCTGCCAGCCGCATACACACACACATGCAACTCAACCCTGCATTGGGGTTCATGTCAGGGTCGGGGTTGTCGTTGATAATCATACTCTCGAGTCTACTCTATTGTAATAGAGAACGACTCTCGTTTTGAGGCTGTGAGAACTTCACTCCTTTAAGCATCACAAACACCCAGGTCGCGGCGCCCGAGCCTCCGATAGGTGGTGATTATGAGCGCATCGGACATATAACTCATGGAGAAAAAAAAGAGGTCTCACAAATGACGACGTTGGCTACCCGGATTTGGTGGTGAGGATTGGAGATCTGGTGTCTGGTGTGTCTCGGCAATGGTGGCAGGCGGCATGTTGGTGGAGACGCGGGACGACGGAGTTGGGTTAACGGTTGCGCGCCGACGTTTCAGCGTGAGGGAGCGAGCGAGCGAGGAAGGTTCATGGTGGTGGTGATTTGTTAGAGGTGGTAGCTATCGACAGATCGGCCTTCTAGAAAAAGTGGTGCGTTGATGCAGGGTGGTGATGGTGGAAATATGGACATCCAACTTGACATAATAGAGAGAGATATACAACTGCGTCTGCGACGTTTTCAAGACCTGACCACCAACCGAAACATCCAAGGCTGCTATAACTGGTACACAAACCTCAGTATGTAACTGTATGTGTGCCGCGTCTGCCTCATTAACGAATAATGGACGAGTCAACGCGCTTCACAAAGGCAAATCTGAAACGCCAGTATCGGCAGCTTCCCCACAAATCGTTTGGGCAACCAATAATCGCTTCCAACTACCTACCCCTCCTCCCACCAGGTGACCACTATGAAGATCCTCCGAGTTTGCTCTTTTTTCTCTCCTGTCGCTCCTTCCTCCTCTACCTCTCCTGCCCGTGTCTGTTCCGGCGGTGGCAGCGCAGTGTGTCTGTCTGTCTGTCTGTCAATCGTCATCTCCCCTGATCAACAACAATCACCACACGCTGGGCGTAGCTTCTTTCGTTTTTGTCTTTGAGAGACGATTATCACTTTCTTGGAGGCCCCCCGATCCTCCCTCCGTCCCTCCCGAGCTTGAAGCAGCGACATAAGCCCGACAGATATATCACACATATACGGCACACCCGGTGGCGGCGACCACATTCAAGCCTTCTTTTTCAGCAAAGGGTCAAAACGCAGCAAGCCATCGACTTTTTCATTCCTTCACACATCCATTTACTCATCCATTCATTCAATTTCAACCGTTCTTTCCTTTATCGACTCCTTTCTGGTCAAACGCGGGTTTCCGTCAGCACATCAACCTACATACTCTACATCCAGTTTCTATTTCATTTTCTCGGCCAAACGAAACCTGATCTTTACGACAACTACAACTAAAACTACAATTACCGTTTCAACCACTCACCACCATGCGTACCACACTTACCATTCCCGCCCTGCTCACCCTCCTCGCCCCGCTCTCCTCAGCTCTCCGCTTCTCCGACCTCAACCCCGCGGTCGGGAGCACCTATTCGGTCGACTGCTCCGAGGTCCTAACAACACCGCTCACCTATTGCAAAGACAGCAAACTCATCTCGATCCTCTGTTCGGACCGCAAATGCGTGCGCGAGCTCTCGTGGATGTCCCGCAAGGCTCAGAAAGCCTGCGAAAACGACAACGACGAGGAGGACGACACGTTTCTGGCCATGGTCAAGGCCGGGAATGTCACGGATCTGGTTTGCCCGGATGCCGACTCATCAGGTTTCTCTGCGTTGTTTAAGAAGCTTGGTGATTTGCGGCGGAGAGATAAAAAGGATGATGATCTTGTTGATGATGTTGAGACTCCTCAGGTAAAACCCACCACTACCACTACTGCTACCTCAGGCCCTATATTATTTCCTACCTTTATCTCCATCGCCCCAACCCCAGGACCTCCACCACCACCTCCACCAGAACGAAACCAGAAATTCGTCTTCTCGGGGTTCATGACCTTCACCACCCCGAGTGAATCCGCAAATCAAGAACTGGTTACTGACAGCTTCAAGACCTCATCCACCGCTTCCTCTTCCACTCCCTCTTCATCATCATCCTCGAAAATCGATCTCGTGCTCGACGACATCGAGCCCCCGACCGCCATCCGCAATGGCGACTCAGGGTCCAGAGCCCTCGACCTGCAAAGCAAATACGTGATTGAAGGCGCCTCGACTGCGTCCTCAGTTCCGCTCCCGACCGGAAAAACTTCCACTTCGCCCTCCTCGCTTACTAGCTCCGGGTCGAAAAACGGCGCGTCAAAGATAAAGGATGGGGAGGACGGTGGGGATGAGAGGGAGGACGGTGAGGATGAGAAGGAGGATGTGGAGGCGTATTCTATGGATTCTGGGAGCGCACAGGTGGCCGTGGGTGGCGTGTGGGGCGTTATGGCGCTTTCGGGAGTGGTGGCGGTGGTCGTTGGGCTCGGGAATTAGGGTACGGTGGATAATGGGGATTGAAGACGCTGAAGGAAAGGTCGGGTGAGGATGGGGAGAGGGGGAGAGTAATCAGGTTTGTTGGCTGGCTGCGGTGAGGCGAGATCCGGAGTGTGTGTGCGTTGGGCGTCTGGATTGGGCGGCGCGGCGTGGATTCAATGGAGATGAATCCCCCACGGTGTGGGTTTCAGGGCTTCTGAACCGCGCCCATCGTCTCGTCGAGGTATCAATATGTTATATCACTTTGCACACATTACAGTGCTGTGTTTTGTTGGTCGGGAGGGTCTCATGTTCATGGTTCCAAGCTGGCCTCGGTAGATGGGTTATTATTCGGGATTATCGACGTAGCTTATTAGTTATAGATGCATCTTTTTACTTCTTTTGTTTGATAGGTTAGATCTCAGCAGCTGTAATGCGCATAGCTCATACGGCTACATTTCCGAGTTGACGGGCCGTACCGGGTCTCAGGCTTTATCTTGTTTGAAATGCGCTTGGAGAATATTGTGGAGTGTGAGATATACGCCACTGCCATCTGGGCCCAGGCTTCCGGGCATGGACCGGAACATTTGAGTAGTTCATTCATGCAACCCCTTGTGCGATCAATGAGATCGAAGCATCATGAGTCCCCCAAATTCGAGACCAGCATCGAGTCATGCCCATGTGTGGCTCGTAGCAACGTGGGAGACTTGTGGTTCCCCAAGTCATCAACTTTCTGACACAGTCACCGGTACTCAAGTCCACACATGATATTTCTGGTAAGGATCTCTCTCCAATGACGTCGTAACGTTCATTTCCCATTTCGGGTATCTGAATTGCTTTAATCGTACATTAAAAGACCGACTCCATCGGTAATATCCGCAAATCAAGCAATAACACCTGCTTTTACAGTCAATCACAGGTACAATTTTATTCCTTGAATCATCCCAACCCACCTCATTTCCAAAATCATTGGTTAACCCAGTACAGTTCAGCAAGTCATTATAAGCTCATGAAGCACTCTCCGTGATACCATATCACCGCGCTGAATAAAGAAACCCCATAATAACTGTGTACTCATTGAATCAAACATCACCGCACTCCATTAGACCATTTGCGGGATAACCACCGGGGCCGTAGCCGTCACAACATTGGACGCATTTATCAGTGCCAAAAGTTCCTCCGGATCCAATCTGATGTCACAATCCGTATCTTTCGTACCAAACGTATACGAAGTCTTCCCCAGGTGACTCTCGATGGGAGGTGGCTCGTGGCCAGAAAGCGAAGCTGATACAGCACGTCTGGGCATCGAATTTTGGTCTGTGGTATCCGAGAAGTTTGGGGGTGTAGCCATCGAAACCGACATAGCCCTTCGAAGGGTAGAAGCCAAGTTGAACCGTTCAATAGATCTCAGGGCTTCATCTGTTTCAACGGGCGCCGAGATCATAGAAGGCACCATAACGGGAACCGTGGCAGCCGTCGTCGTGATCTCGTTAATGATCTTCTGGGTCGCTTTCCCATCAACTGGAGCTCCATACTGTTCATCAAATGAATCATCCTTCATGACGAGCACTTTCCCGCTGTCGAGGTCCCGAATCAACGCCTCCAGCTCTGACGGCAACCAAGCACGGAAATCATCGGGGCGACGAGAGCTATTTGGCTTCCCAATCCTGCTTTCAGCGAATGGGCTGGAGACGAATGCAAATTGGCCATTGAGTCCAGCATGGAGAGGAGTAATCTCGTTGAGCAAAACATTCGCAGCGAAGGTTCGGAAGATAAGTTGTCGGAGGAGATGGAGTGCCGTGATTCGGAGAGCTCCGTTTGAGTCTGGAGGCCGGATTCGCGAGGTCCAGTCAATGAGTGGGGGCCTGGAGTAGCAGGAAGGTTTGATGGAGAAGGATAGTGCCGGGATACCGGCTTCAGGGAGATCCTCAAGTCTCAAGGGACCAGCATGGAAGGGGAAGGGAGAA